TTAACCAACTAAGCCACGGCGCCGATAGTCGAGGAAGTCCCTGCTCTTATTCAGTATCGTAGAAAAATTGAGTCAGTGGCTCGTTTGATAATTGAGAAGTGTGATTTATAATTGAATTATAAAGTATATTGGAAAATGATCTGCAGAGAAATGATGGGCTATCTGTCATTAAACTGGACATTTGGCTATCACTGATGAAGCTGTTAACTTCTCTTTATATAATATTGTTTTCAGATGATGGCACTCTTGAATATATGATTAATGATGAAGTTCATTATCTTCTATGCAAAATGTTTCTATGCAAAAACATAAATTCTCTAAATCACTTACTAAGATCCCTTTCTCTCCTAGAACTGAAACCTCTGCTATAAATCACTCAGTTTACTAAACAACAAACAGAATATTAAGCTTTTAGATGCACTATGAAACCTTTTTCCCTGAAACCTCTGACTGCACGCTTTTATGTATGTATTTGTGTATCACCTTTTACTTTTAATTGTGTTAACATCTGTTGTTTCACTCTATGTTCCCTGTTTTTTTATTTGTATAAAAGATTTGTGTAAATCATTACGTTAATTAACTTTAGTGTTTGTTGTAATTACGTCATTTTTATTACTGTAATTAATTAATTATTTAGAAAATTATAAATGAATTAAATACTAATTGTAAAATTATATCATGGCTGCCATTTTACATTCCGCATGAAAAAAGAATATACTTAGAAACTAAGTTTACTACTAAACTAAGTACATAGAGTAAATAAATCCTAAATATTATATTATTAATATAAATATTATAATAAAGAAAACCCGGAGCCAAATCACCTGTATGTGAACGCATACTTAGTCAATAAAGCTGGATCTGATTCTCATAAGTTAAAGTATTTGTAAAAACAAATCTGCACTTTTAATAAAACCAAGTATTCTGTATCATAAATACAAGTCGGTCGAAACTTGATTGACAGGCCCTGAACCAACCAATGCAGTGGGAGGGCTTCAGGGTCGGATCTGTTTCCGGAACCAACCAACCAAACACACACACACACAGGCCGACCTACCTCCATCACCTTTACACACACTCCCTTACACACACACACACACACCCTCTTTCTGTATTGTACTCATAGCCATGGTGTGTATACTACCCCCCCTCCCCTCTCTCTGTCTGGAACACATTACGTAGGCCAGTGGCTTGTGAGCGCTGACTGGGCCTCGGGGAAGAAAAACACAATTATTTCAGCCCTCGGCTATTCACGCAAAGGTGACAAAAGCTGGTATGAAGTATGAAATCCCAAAAGTTTCTCCCGTGCCGAGGCCGACAAATTGGGATTAATTTGCGCTCGTGTGCACGCGTGTGTCTCCAAAGTTTTCACCTTTGCTCGTTTCCCATTTCTTAAATAGTTTGGGAACTCAAAAGGCCTAATTTATTGTGTCAGAAAAAAGAGCGTGTGTGTTTGCCCGTGTTGTTCATGTGTGCTCACAGTGCTAATTTTAAATAATATATGCTTTTTAAAAGCTTGAAGGATGTAAATTAGTGTGTTTGTGTGTGTGTGTGTCACTGTAGGAAGGTGGGTAAAGGGGGGTTCTTCGTATGGGATCACACATTCACACACGCTTCCCAAATTAATTTAATCTAATTAATCGCCCTGAAGAGAGGCAACAGATGCTGGCGATTACCCCCCATGCCTGGCCCCCCCTCCCTGCGCAGGCACAAACACACAGAAACAACACACTAGAGGCGCACACACATAACTAATACATCTCTAAATGCTGCAAAATTGTATTATTTTTGTT